AAAAGGTATGACAAATTTGGTATTGTGAGAAAGCTCACACTCTCTAGAAAACAATGGTACAAAAATTTTCAAAATCCAAGCAAGTTTATTTTTATCGTGCACTTCCTACTGGTAGGTTATAAACCTACAATACACAATAGCAACGTAGCTGTAGACATGGTAGACGATAACCCGCACGATGGTCACGCCGCGCAACGAAAATAACTGAAGGACGCTCACGCATGGTTGGATGATGATTAATCGCTCTACACTCGACTGTCACGTGACTTTTTCAACCTGTTCTCTAGCTGGTCCCGCTCCTACTATAAAATCGCTCGCCCAAATGTTAAGAAAATTTTTGTGAGAAGGCCCTTTGGGTATGAAATTGATCTGCATCGGTGTATTTTTGGACGCTGATTCCGAATCACCCCCCATGACGTAAGGTAAAAATGCTTCCCTGGAGAGTTATGGGCAAAACACCGTTTTGTTCACGTGACAGGCTAGTAAAACATGAATTCGATTGTTTAGGGCTCGGGTTAGGCCGTTAGGGTTATGTTAGGGTTATGGATAGCTTCGGGGTTATGTTTAGGGTTAGGTTTGGGATTAGGGTTCATGTAAAACCGTTTTGTACGGCTGCAAAACCATAAAAACCAAAGTCACGTGAAATTTTTGGGCGAGCGAATTAGTAAGAGCCAGCTGGTCCTGAACGACTTTTCGAAATCCTAGCCCTCTAATCTGATCCCAACCTTAACCCAATCTTTAACAAAAGTGTATTCTGGGTAAAATTATCTTTATCCCGGTTGTTGCGACAAGTGAAAATGCTCTTATTAGGGAAAGGAGTTTACTCGACGTTTCAATGTAACTACATTCATACACTGAAACCCTAACCCTAAGGAGAAATTAGATGTTAGACTAGACTAACTTCCTTATACGGTCATATCTTACTGGGCCGCGCTCAGCCTGTCATTCCGCCGAATCTCTATTCGGCGGAATATGTTTATGAACATGATAGCCTGAGGTCCCCAGGTAAGGTCATATATATCACGTGATCGAGACAGTTTTTCGCCATTATCTCGTCAGGGGAGCATTTTAACCCTATTGTTTTACGATGTTCTTGTATAAAGGAAACACGATATAACTAAGAGGTATTATTCTTGAAAGTAGAATGAAGATTTATATAAGTAACATAGGCATTAGAATATAACAGAACTGCTCGAACCTGACCTCTCAAATAATTATAAAACGGCACTTATATATAGCATGACACGTTGACGTGACGAATGATTCGTGACCATGGGACATGAAGATACTATTTGAATGGTTGTGAAGTCGTGGTGAAGTGAACACGTGACAATGACGAGTGATTAGTGTTATGAATCTCCAAGGTGAAATGAACTGTGCTGACTTCGTGCATATGAAGTGAATTGGTGCTGAAAGTGGATTGTGCTAGTGCTTGTTATTTGATGTGAAAATAATGCGAGGTGATTTGTGACTATGAATACCTATAAAACATCTAAAACAAATAACACTAATTAACAATAAAATATACTCTTTAAAACTAAAAGTAAACACAACACCTATGTCATGGGGGCCGGGGGTGATTCGGATTCAGCGTCCGAAAATACATCGATTGAAGTTGGTTTTAACTGTCGAGGTCCCTTTTAGAACAATCTCGAAGATCGACTGTAAACTTAAAGTGATTTAGTGCACGCTCGCGCACGGTTAGTTTAATTTGATGAAGGAGCAATCATGGTAAACTTTTGTAATTCATATTTCATTATATTGTTCATGCTTGGTTACGTTTGTAAATTCTTTTAACCGATCCCTTTAAGTTTAGCTTTACCGTTTGTTTTTTTATAATTTGTAATTGTCCCCAAAAATACAGGGTGGGCCAAAAGTCAGTGTGCAAACGTTGGCCTGAATAGCTCAGTCACTGAGTGCCCAATTGAAATAATTTGTTCTGGTATGACTTACTACCACCACTGGTTCGAGAAATTTGTCAAATCGAAACATATTTGTGTTCATTTTTTTCAAAAGAAGGTTCATTTTCGCATTTAATTGATAGTTTGGATAGTCAGATCGAGCCAAATTTTATTGAATTGTGTTTGGCCATTTAAATTACGTTTGCCCTGGAAAAATGAGAGTTCTAGCTTCTCAGATGACCGAGATATGAACCTTAACGAGGTTATTCATTACGTGTGATCAGGTGATTGGCTTACCTGATCACGTGATTAGGTGACCCCGTTAACCGTTGAGAACTGCTTCTGTGCTTGCGAACATGCTGAGGAGAGGCCGGTTAATTGAGTGATGCGGCCTTACCCACATCTTCCCATCGCCTGGAGGATCCAACACTCACAACTGGTGGTTCCAGCAAAATGGTGCTCGTCCTTATCTTCCTGCCAGACAGTGGATATCTTCTAAATTTGATAACAGAACCATCGGCGAAGGACTAGCTGAACCCTGGCCGCCTCGAAGTCCTGACATGAAACCTCCAGACTTCTTCTTCTGGGGATGGATCAGATATACAAGGAGGGTCCTGCTCACGACATCCCTGAATTAAAGAGACGTATTAAAGACTGCTGCAGAGATGTTCCGGCGGAGTTCCTCACTAGGGCTTGTCGATCAGTGAAACGGCGCTGCAATTTAGTTGTAGAGAAGAATGGTGGTCATATTGAGAATTATCTGTAGATTTATTATTGTTTAAATTATTGTGTGCATATCTTAAATAAAGTTATCCTTTTGCAACAGTTTTGTTTCACTATTCATTTGCCGCCAAAATTCTCTGATCATTGCTAAGGCTCAAGTAGCACGCTAGAAACATAGTACGGGGTAAGTGATATCAGATATCCCCCCTGGGAATTTTGAAGGTAGTCCAATTAAGGTATCGTGTCACATAATCACCCAATCAATCAAGCTGACAAGCTAGAATAAATGCTTGATAACTCATTCATTTCTAATTCGTTTTGTCTCATTTTTTCAGATCAGATGCAACATTTAATAATCTACCGTCTCTGAAAAAATTAGACATCTAGCATGTTCGGGGAGAACAATATAAGTGTTTTAATATTGAATGGGCGTGGTCTAAAATATTCGAATTTTCAAATTTTGGTGACGGAATCCTCGAACCAGTAGGTACAGTAAACCATTTGCAAAGCAACAACCCTCAAATATAAAACCCAACGTTTGCACACTGACTTTTGGCCCACCCTGTATTTAATTCGCGTTTTTGACACCACTTGGGGGTCCAAATTTTGGGCTCTAAAATTCCTATTCCTTGGCCGATTTCTTATTTTTTCATGCTGATTTGGAGGCCAATAAAGCATTTGACCCAGTCAAAAAAGTTTCAGTTGTATATCTTTTACGGTTTTTGCGGAAAGTCGCGTTAAAGTTGATGCCGTGGTGTCAGTAAAATGGCACGGATAAACACATATATATCGTCTCGCTTTATATATAGTAAGATGGGACAAAATTTGTACCCGTTCATTACGACAAGGTTAAGGCTCTCTTTTCCTTATCCTTATAGGGACAGAACACTTCTATTACAATTGGTCGTGAACACGGAGCGCAAGGCTGCCCGTACGTTCAGAATAAATATAATTGAGTTGATAGTACGATTGTTCTATCATGATGTTGGTTACCTACCTTTGTTGTGTTTCTTTTGACTTAGCTATCGTGCTCTGCTCTGAAAATTGTGATAGAACCTGTTCGAGTTGTTAACGAGACAATCTCCTTGTCAGTGGCGTAACGTTGCCTGATACGCCGGTAAAATCTCTAAAAAAGTGAGTGTCTAGAGCAAAACGCGCAGTTTTGCTAGTTAAGTTTTCGAAATTGTCCCACATTCAGCGACGGTTTGGCGCCCCCCTTAGACGCCCCCCCCCCCCGCTGTGCGGGGTCAGCGGGGCCCTTCGTTACGCCACTGCTCCTTGTTCTTTCGTTGCAGAATCAACATGTTCTTTGTTTGAGTAACACAACAATTTTGAGGAATAAGGAAGCGTTATTGGGCTGTAAAACCAACTTAAATCGATTTCTCGTGCAACGTTGTATAGGTGAGGAACAGTCACCAAAATGAGTTGCTTACCTGCTGTGTTTTGTCGTACTCTGCTCTTCGTTCAAGTTCGATCAGTTAAGGTGAGGATTGCCTCGATCTTTCGGTTTCAGCCCTAGGTCAAGAGCTGTAGAACCGAAGGATCAAAATATATGTTGCTTGTTGCTCACATTCTAAACTATAAAACATCAATTTTGAGGGATAAGGAAGTGTTTATAGGTTCTGAAACCTAGCTAAATCGATTTTTCGTGCAATTTTAGGTTAGAAACGGTCCTCAAAATAAGTTAATAAGAAGGTCGATTTCTCGGTTATTTTTGAGCTTTCGTTCAGAAAATAATTCGGGGCCCTCAAAGGGGGGTAACAAGAAGGCGTTACAAGCGTCTCCTCAGCCTGCTGAACATGTACTCGACCTAAAATGTAAACAAACAATTATCACCTCCTCAGCCTGCTGAACATGTACTCACTATTAATGTAAACAAACAATTATCACCTCCCCGCCAGTATCCACATCTTATAAGAACTATAAGATCAACAAGAGAGCTTAGCGGACACTCTGTCATGTTCTATATAAGTATAATCCAGAGATTTCTGTATTATAATCCTCAGCTATGAATATTATTATGGGACAAAATTTGCAGTGTTCCCGTTCATTGCGACAAGGTTAAGGCTCTCTTTTCCCGATCCGGATATTACATACTCTATGCTACTCTGCTATCAAATGAAAATCCTGCTCGATTATTAACATTGCAGTCCTGCTGTTAAAGTGTAACTTCTAGTTCTATTGTAAAACAAGCACATCTGCTCATGTTATCTGCTTGTTTAAAGCAATCCTGGCTGTAATTCTATCGGGAAATTAGTCATGGTTTAACAAATTGTACACATATGTATCAATTACCAATTACATGATCGAGAGTAAAAACAAATCATAATGACAGTAATGTACAAATATTCATTATTCACATTTTCTTCAACATGATTTAAGATTTTATAGGTGCTCTTAAATATGGCTGCGATTAAAACTCACCAATCATTGAGGCAAGCGGATCCAAATCACAAAATATGTATCTTCGGGCCCCAATATTGCATGCCAGGACCATTTCAGATCAATATTGGATCTGACCGTTACAATATCACTGATGGTAATGGAAATACGTTATTTCTTCAAGTGAGTATGAGTTTCAAAATGCTTTATCAAAATCATATCTGAGTAATCGGGCTTTTACTAATTCGCTCGCCCAAAAATTTCACGTGACTTTGGTTTTTATGGTTTTGCAGCTGTACAAAACGGTTTTACATAAACCCTAATCCCAACCCTAATCCCAAGGCCTAACCATAACCCCGAAGCTATCCATAAGTAGGGCATAACCCTTACCACAACCCTAACCCGAGCCCTTAACAATCGAATTCATGTTTTACTAGCCTGTCACGTGACCAAAACGGTTTTTTGCCCATAACTCTCTAGGGAAGCATTTTCACCCTACGTCATAGGGGGTCCGGGTAATTCGGAATCAGCGTCCAAAAATACACCGATTTAGATCAATCTCATACCCAAAGGGCTTTTTCACAAGAATTTTCTTAAAATTTGGGCGAGCGATTTAGTAGGAGCGGAGTAACTGTGAATAATGGTTTTGGTGTTTAATGTGCATTTAAGTTCTTCATTAGTCAAATTTCCACAAGGAACTTTCATCGGATACAGAGAAATCATGGAGAGCCACCTTCGAGCGGGAAAAATCTGCAATGCTTGATGAATATGGGAACGAGCTTTGCAAAATAAAGAGATACTTGACGGGCTGGCGATACATATGGCACATGAATTGTACTGCCACTGGTGAGGGTATGAATCAACGGAGGATTACAATGGCCTTCAGACATTTTACCAGGAACATGAAATGCTACGTTCATGTCACTGATGATTATAACAGGTACCGAGAGAGAAATTAAATCTATACAGTGTTCTGTAGTAATTGGATGATTTTAGCTTATAATTAATTTGTAATTACGGTCAAATTAATTAGAGAGTTTGTTGATTTCGGGTAGGTTAAGTAGTTAAACACTTACAAGCTTAGGTAATATCTTTCATTAAAACTATTTTAAACAAATGATAATTCTTCAGCAATTCTAAGCCGGAAATAATGATGAAATGCTCTGTGACATGTACACGAGAACGAACAAACAACGTAAATATATACGATGGCGAAACTAATCAGCTGTTTGCTCGTATGAGCGGTAATAAGCACGGCTTGATCCGCCTCTCAATTGAGCCTGACATTGACGTGGCCTTCATGACAGCACTTGCTTTGATGTGGGATGTTGCTCTTAGGAATTGGTGATAAACGGACCCTGATCTTCGTCATTAAATAATGGTGATGACTAAAAATACCTCAACGATGTGGAATCGGGGGACTATAAATAATTAGTACAAAATGGACTTGATCTGATAATGTGATATCTTTACCAAAATCACAGTGCTGGCAAGCACGAGCGTTGTCTTTATTGGGGGTATACTATGTACCCCCTTTACTATTATAACTCCTTTACTATTACACCCCCTTTGGTACACGTTGGAAGCCTCCTTCGTGCACGCGAAGCGTGCACTCCGGCCGGAGGCGGCGGCCAAAGGCCGCCGCCTCCGGCAGGAGTTTTTCAGGCATTAAGACTCATCGGAAGTCGTTTTGCAGATTTATTTTTAGTTCAAAACATTCTAATTTGATGTCAAAGATGACAGAAATAAGAAATAGTTATGTGGAGATTTTTAAGAAATTTGCATAAAATACGCGCCAGCACTGTTATACGAAATTCGGTAAAAAACCCGAAATCGCCATATTCAGGTGCCTTAAAAACCACGTTAAAATTGAGTTAGAGATCTGAAACTTTGCAAGGCGTCTAGACGTTGACCAAATCGACTGCAAAAAAGTTTCAAGTTTCAGGAGCATCGGGAAATGAGTTTTCTAGAACCCCTGTTTTACGACAGATTGTCGGGATACATACATATATATATTCAGGGATAGACGCTTTGCCAGTCAATTATAGGCTATATTTAGGTGTCCGTAGATTCAGAAGCTTTAAAGATACAGCCATCTCGGACCACAGGTCTTGAAGATAATTGTTTAGAATTTAGTTTACATTACATTAAAAAGTAATTTAACATCATCATCACCACTTGATGACGTCATCAAGTTAACCATTTAAAAAACTTTATTTTTGACAAAGTAATCACTTTTAAAATCGATTTTACGCCAATAAGGAGTAATTTTATTCAAAATTTGAGGAACTATTGAAGTTAGATAATTGTTTAAGCATTCTGAAAATCTACCGGAAAGTTTTTCTAGCTTGCTCCTTCATAAAGATATTCGCTATTGAAGTTTATGCTTTTTTAAAGAATAATTTTATAAAAACGCTAATTTTACGTTCTAGTATTCTCTGGTGTTGAGCCATCCCTTGAGTTGTGAAGCTCAATTTTGCTTTCTAATGGTCTAAATTGTGTCATAGGCTAGTTTTAAAGTTGAAAATAAAAAAGTTGCACACGTGAGGACACGCCCAAAATGATAGAAAATTGCTAAAATCACTGAAAATTGGTATTTTCACGATTTTTATCAGCTTTGGAGTCCCGTTGTGATGAGAGTTCTTCCTGAAATATTCTGAAACTTTCCACACTTATTAAACTAGATATAAAATACGAAGATAATAAAATTTTACGGTGATTTGATATTGGATGCGCACGCAACGTTCGCTCAAAGTTTGCACGTGCGAAAGGTGAGAATTTTTCTCATTTCTTATTTCGAATAAATTCTTTCCCACGACATTTAAATGGCATTATATATATGAATTTAATACCGACTTGATTGAGTAAAAAGTGTCATATTCAGTCAGTTATCAACAGATATGCCTACCTAAACACAAGGAAATGTTTTCAAAGGTTAAATTCCGAAATCGTTGAAATCACCTCTTTAATAATATTAATGAAGTTATGAGTTTACATTTCGGCTTTGTAAAGTACCCTTACATTATATTTATAATAAAAAAGAGATGATATTTGACCAAAACCCATAATTATGGGTAGAGTGGAGCGCTGTCAGTGTCTCTCTTTCCCAAACAAAAGGCAATGATATCAATTTGAATGACCGTTATCAAATACAAAATGAAACCGAGAATGAAATCGGACGCTCGTTTTCCCCATTCATTTACAATTGAAATAGATTACATGTTATAAATCGAAACTTATTACAATTCGTAAGCCATGAATGAGTGGGAAAAGCGAGCGACCGATTTCATTCTCGGTTTCATTTTGTATTTGATAACGGTCATTCAAATTGATATCATTGCCTTTTGTTTGGGAAAGAGAGACACTGACAGCGCTCCACTCTACCCATAATTATGGGTTTTGGTCAAATAGATTGTACTGTACTATGTATTTTGGTAAAAATATCAGTATTTATAAAATATTAAGTTTATTTGAGCTTTAATTGGAAGTCGAATTCCCTTGTCGACTTCCCTAGTGCTTTATCTTACACCATTGCACTTGAACGATAAACAGTTTTTTTTCCAGGTCTGTTCATATATATATTATATATCCTGTTACAATTATTTGAATTTAATACTAATAGTCATCTGTGAGTAAAACTAAAAGAATTTTGTTGGATTCAGAGTCACAATTTAAGCTTTTCAATGACAAATTAGCTAACACTAGCAGCGTACCCGTCCTCCGGACGACAATAATTCTTTACTTTCACTGACACCACGTTTTCGCTTTCTAAATTTATTGGGTGACCCAAATGGGTCAAATTTAAAGACAGCATTTTCAAATATTAGAATTAGCATTAGAATCAAATTTACACGGCAATACGATAAAAATAGTAAATAATTTAAAGATTCTTCGATCTGCTGATTCAGCATCTGCCAGTTCTAAATCGTATTTTTGTTTCGATTGGCCCCCATGGGCCATGTGCAAAAAACAGCACACTACTTTGGAGTCGAAACAATATTGTACTGCAGTAAGTGCATAGTTTTACATGCATTGAAAATCTTATCAGCTATGTATAAAAAGATAAAATTCAATAATTAGCGACGGCACATTTCCAAGTATAGTAGTATCTGTAGTTTGTAAATAGATATTGGTTTTTATATGTTATACTCATTTGTATCTGCTAATTTAAGAGTTAGAGAAACTACTGTAAATACTGAAATAATTATTACCTATTTAAATCGCGTTTTTGACACCACTTGGGGATCCAAATTTTGGGCACTAAAATTCTTGTTCCTGGTTCCGCGGCCTATTTTTTATTATTTCAATCTGATTTGAAAAGCATAAAAGCATTTGACCCGGTCAAAAAAGTTTCGGTTGTATATCTTTTACGGTTTTTGCGGAAAGTCGCGTTAAAGTTGATGCCGTGGTAAAATGGCACAGATAACCACATATATATCGTCTCGCTTCATTTATAGTAAGATGAACAAATTAATGAAGAAAATCTAAAAACTACGCTACTGATACATTATTGGCGAACAATTTTATCGAATGAACGAGAGGTCTCAAAGTTTGTTCATGATCAATGATCTCCGGAGACCATACCCTACAGCAATTATAAATGATTAATAACGTTCTCAAACCGTTCTTATGTTATCAACAGTGATCACTTGTTCGCCATTTTTGGGACAACCAGTATCAAATAAAACCAGTCTTTCGTTACACTTACAAAATTCATTAACACAGTCAAATTTCTGCATTATCGTCTGAATTAGCTGGAAACTCATTTTTGCTTACACTTTCAGACGTTCGATCATCGTTGGAGGCGGCGGCGTTTTCATAAATGTTGTCAACTTGGTTTGGGACTGCACTGGCGCTGATCGTCATTGCCTGAGTTAACGGGGCTACTGATCTACCGGCGGCAGCGGCGGCGAAAGATATTGTAGAGGTCCTCCTCTCCTCTTGGAGCCCAACCTTAACCAGCCAGTGAGACGTGACCTGGTCGTTGAGCACTATGTAGAACAGGAATACAAATATGCCCTGAAAGTTTACATGGATAATTATCTCCGTTTGTAGTGCAATTAACCATTTTTCGTCTTTAATTTTCATAATGATGATATACTTGTGTAGTGGGTATCGATATTATGATACTTTAAAGATAACATCTAATTCGGAAGAAGGATAAAGAAGGCTGTAGAAAACACACGCATACCTGAGAACTATTAAGAAGAATGAACAGATACTGCATCCCCACTTGGAAGTGAGGGGCTGGGAGGGACATGAATATTCCAAAGAACCAGCCTGTTCCAAGCAAGACCATCACACCGACTGCTGATTTAAGCTGCCGCTGAAGTTAGTTTAAGAATTTTTGCGATATTAAAATGAAGCATATCAAAAGTAAAACAAACCAGACAACAGGCCAGATGTTAAACAATTCTTCGATCATATTGAAAGCCGCTAAATATTAGCAACCTTAGAACTCACTAAAATTTGTCCCCGATCAGAGATGTTGCCGGATGAGTTTGAGTTCTTGATCACTTTGGCAACCAGTGCGAAGAATACAAGGTTCACCAAGATAACCAAGACAATGGGGGCTAAGAAGAGAGTGTAGAAGGATGTACTTTCAGGTCGGATAAAACACATAGCGTCCGCTAGGTACCCGTGTTCTGTGAAAGTGAAGCTACCTACGGTGTGCTGCTTCGTGAAGACGAAATATCCGATGAATGGTATCGGTAGAGGGATACCTAGAATATGGTCAGGTAATTTGTATGATAAGAGTATATAATTATACTCTTCTTATTTAAAAAACAATCGAATAACCAAGATTATGCAAGTGTTCAGATAGAGAAAATATAAGATTGAATAATAATATTATAATAACATACCCCATGCCGCGAGGTTAAACTTCAGCATACACTTTGAGATATGAGATCCGAACACTTGTACGAGAGAAAGGTACATAAGGAACCCTTCGACGACCATCCAGGCGAAGACCACAAGCCATAAGTAATGCTGGATCATCGCGTACACGGCACATCCCGTCGACTTCTGAAACGGGTGGTGGCTGATGAGTCGGGCAGTATTCGAAAAGGTCTGACAACTGGATTAAAAAGGATATCTTATTGAGTTATGGTAAGCAGCTGGACTCCTATAATATTATATTCTGTCAGCACAACTTATAGTTATCATCTAACCTCTAAATATAACTCAAGCTTACCAGTTTTATAACTCCGGTATCATCAGCAGAAATGAAAGCGTCTTGGATAAGGAACATCAATGACGCCAACAAAAGTGCGGTGGTGAAACAGATGTTGATCTTAGCGGATCGAGTTGATCGAAGAGCTTTAGCAGGAAGTAGGAACACCAGAGTTAAGATGAGACTGACGATTGAAATTCCGAGTAGTACATACGTTAAGTAGCTCTGTACTTCGGCAAACCCACGGTCAATCTCGTAAGCTGACTGAAAA